CATTTTTAAAAATAAATTATATTTGAATTGCTGGGAAATTTCCAAATGTCTAAATGTATTTCTGAACACACCCTAGTAACAATAGCTGAGTGTTTTTGAGACTTTGCTCTGCAGCATGCTGCTGCAAAACATATAGAAGTTTCTTTATAGAACAACGTTCTGGGCGGTGCTTTTCTTTCATAGTTTCATACACTCTGACTCAAATGTGAAAATTAAAATTTACAATTATGTAAATTAAAGCCTTTCATTGTTTCCTGTGCTTTTAAAAAATATATAAATAAAAATTCTGATATTTTGTTTCCCATAGTAGATTCAAATGCATTATGTAAAGATTCTCTTTTAATGAAATATGTTGCCTTTGGAAATAATGTATATTCCCTAGGTATAGTTCTTGACAGAACATTCCAGTCTGTACTTCACTGATAAGTTCCACTAGCTTTGAGGTTTCTCTTTAGAGGGATTCTTGGCCCCTTGTAATGTTGTACTCCCATCATGTATGTAAGTTGAAGATGGTTTTTAATATAGGTCCTTCTTGAAGGATAAAGAGTTTATGTTGTATTTAGCATTCAAATTAATTATTTAAAGTCTTTGGAATTACTTTTCTTATTTAAAGTAGCTATTTTGATTGTCATCTAATATTATTACTCTGCTATTTTATTGTGTGTCTTTCCCCATAAAAACATGATTTATGACAGCAGCATAAAGTTCATATGGGTTTTCCAAGGACTTTTTGAAATAGCCACCTCTGACCTTCTCCTGGGTTGTTAATGCTTCACTGCCAAATCTCATGGGATTTAAAAAATTATATGTCTCCATACTTTTCATGATAATGCTATAAGGAAAATTAAAATAAAACAAGTGACATCACCTTAAATGTGCTCTTATCCTGGTATGTTCATGTTCATTTATGAAATTTTGGTAAACTTTTTAATAAGATTATAGAAAGTTACAGGCTTTTTGTGATTCTGTATGGCTGTACTCATGATCTTAAAACTTATCTAAAAGACTGGCCACAATATATCTGAAGTACCGTTTATCCAGTGAACAGTTACTGAGCACTGCTTTTACCAAACTAAAAATACACCATGTCCAAATATGCTAATTAGCCCGATTCAATCATTCTGCAATGTAAAACTCACATTGTATCCTTGAATATATGCAATTATTATTTATTAAATAAAAATAAAACAAACAAGCAATGACTTCAAACTCCAAAGAGTTTGAAATTTATTAAGGAAAGGAAGTGGGAAGAGAGAAGATAAATAATAATACAAATCAATAAGGAAAAATAAGAATATAAAATAAGCCATAGGAACCATAGAGGAGGAAACAATTAGTTGTTCTTAAATAACTTAGGTGTTTATGCTAGAGGATATAATAATTGATTTGATATATCACCAAGTGGAAAAAGTGAAGAAATTCAAAGGAAATGAAACAGAATAAAAAGTGAGAAAATATTAGTTCATAGTTATGAAATTAGTAGTTATTACTTTTGGTCCCTTGATGAATTTGCCCATATTGCTCAGTACTAGCCTCATTTTGTTCATATGTTCTATTTACCTAACAACCTCAGTCTTAGCTCCAAACCCATTGAAATTATTAATTTCAATTTACCATATATACATAATCTGAGATTAAACAACATTCATAAAAAGCAGTTATTCACAACATTTTTCACTTTTGCAGTGATAAAAATGATACCAGTGGATTGATCCCATTTGACTGATTGAAGCATGCATACTGGTAAATTTCAGGGATGATTAATTTTTAATTCACTTATCTAAGAGCCTGCTTTTATGGCAAATACTGAAAATACAGAAAAACGAAAGCTCTTATCTCAAGTAAATAGGAGAAACAAGGCAGACTACTTGCAGTAAGGACCTCTACCTAAGAAGAAATGCTTATGTATACTTAAACACAGAAATTTAAAGAAACACAGGATATCCTTACTGAATGAGGCAATATTTCTGAGTAGCATTTTAAAGGAAACCTATGAGGTTTGAAGGACACAGAAAATAATGTCCTGGAGTTCTTTCCATGTGAAAGGCATATTTTTTTTTCACTTAGTATCTACCATGGGATTTGCTAGCTTGACTTGACATCCAGCTTTATGTTCTTTTCAAGGCTGAAACATATCTATTGACCTTTCTAAATCATTGTCCTAATTTCTTGCACATATTTATATAATAGTCTTTAATAAAATGAAGTTTTCAGAAAGAGAGAAAAGGATAATTAATTCTACATAAAAGAAGAAAACCATTGGTTAAGAATTTTTATCAGCTCCTATTTGCTACAGAGTATATTAATTCCCACTAAAAACCATAAAAAATCACACCTATATCAGAACTATGATTAGAATTGAAAGGTCAAATGACTTAGTTTTTAATAAATTAACTGGTCACTTATATTTTGAAACTACATTTTAGGCCAAAACTCCTTTTTCTTTTTAATGGACTCTAACTGCTTAATACATTTTATTTTTTTCAACATAGCATATTTGGCTGATTTATACTTCCTTCCCAAGTATTTAGCCGTATCATTTTCTTATGTTTTCTGTACCTTCCTACTTAGTGGAAACATTGTTTGTTCTTGGAGTGTGCTTTGTCTTCCTTTTCAAGAAGATCATCAAAGTTACTAGTTTGCAGATTCAAAAAAGAAAAAGCCTTCTAATCCCTAGTTCAGAGGCTAACCTTTATTAGTGCTCTTGTGGTTATAATGAGGACCCTGCTTCCAGCAGGGAGATTCTGGAATACTGAACAGATTATTCAACAAGTTCAGAGCAGATTCTGAAGTCCCTTATAAAACCTGCTTGTGAATACTGCTTTCTTTGCTTTACTGTTTCTGGTTTCCATAGTATTCCTAATTATATAAATCATGTGGAGCATGGGAGCTATTTTCTATCCAATATCAGTTGACAATGCTTATGTTGTGGTATAATTTTAATGTTTTTCCAAGTCAGACATTTTTCTTAAATTCTTACAAAGTGTACAAACTCTGAAAAAAGTAGTTTTGTTTTTGAAAATCTAGTAAGTGATTGTTTTTGGAATCTATGATGCTGATATAAAGAATCAGCAAGTTATTTTATGATGAGCAAGCATGGGTAATACTGGTGAAGCTGATAAATTTTTCTCAGGTTTGAATTCAAGATTAACTTGTGGATGTAGATCTTTTCAGTTTATCACTTACTTCCCAATTTATTTAACTTTATTTCAATTTAAGTTCTATTTATCTAGTGCTTTTCAATGTTCAAAATGTGTGTTGGTTAAATGAGTGTATCAGCTCAAGGTATATAAATTAAAATCTAATACATAGTAATTTATTGTGGCAATAAACTAAAAGTGCTGATATTTTTAAGCTAGGTTTTTTTCTTTTTAGGAGAAATTGTAATCAAGATTGGTTTTTCTAAACATTTTTTGAAAGATTGAAGAATTATGATACTTAAAATAAGCTATTTCTATTTTAGTTATTTTTTTATAGTGTATACATAATCATGAACTTTTTAAAAAGTCTGAGGCACTCCTTATGGTAAAACTTATAGAGAAAAGGAGTGGCTCTAAAAGAATAAAAATAGGATTGATAGATGAATCTCAGGAATTAGTTTTCAAGCTGGATGAGTGAATTTCATGCATATATCTGATAAGATGTCTAAATAGTCATAGCGCTGTAATTTCTTTTTAACTTTATTTATAGTAGTAGAAAAAATCTTAAGCTCTATTTCTAACATTCTCCTAAGTGTTGAATATATTAGACAGACTTCAGATTGTGCTTTGGTAGAGAGTTGTAGAACTTAGTGCCATAAAGTGCATAACTTTTTTACTAAGAGCAAAATTCAGCAGAATACCAGTAGCAAAGGCCATTTGCATAACTCAGCCTCTCAGCAGCTCAGCTGAACCTAATTGTAATTCAATTTCCAGATTGCTTCCCTAGGCCTGGCTGCATAAAATATGCAACATATAACATAACCAATGGTACAGGACCTACTTTCTTTATTGGCAATCTATTTAATTTCTTTTTTCTGGTATATGTATTAGAATAAGGTAACTAAAATATATAGCTATTTTGTATATTTATATTTGGATCATATGTGTACACTTAAATATTAAGACCAAGTGTAAAAAAGTGATATTCTTTCATTTTTTTTCTGAGTTCCAAGTGTGCTTATTATTTCTTTCTTTCTGTTTTTTTTTTCCAGAGGAAAATTAAATCTTGAAAAATGTTAGCTAGCTGCCATGTTATTTGAGTATTTTACACTAGAAAGACTTTATAAGCTAATCATGTGAAAAAGTGTATAAACATGTCTGTCAAGTCCATATGGATGTTGCATTACAGATCTACAAGTAAATATCTTTTATCTATTTACAAAATGCCTGCTGGAATAGCATTCCTAAATCCTTGACTAGTTTTATATCTCAGAAACTTAAAAACAAAAAGGTATGGTAAAAATGCTTAAGATTCTCCCCTTATTTTTAAACAGTCTTGCCACCCTATTTTAGGGGTTACTTAAGAAATGGCAGTGACAATCCTGGAATAGGATGGTTTATAAAGGTGTGGATTTTATTTTATGAATAATTTCCAGATGTGATGTTTTAGGTATATAGACTCTGCTACAGGAAGCTATATACAGAAACAACATGGATCTTACAATTTTATCAGGACAATGCAAGTAGATTTCAGCAAGGTTGGTTCCAACTCATCTGTGATAAATGAGAAGATAAGGCAATCAGTGCACACCATGACACTCTGTGCAGCTAGTTAGGCACACTTCAGAACTATTCAGGTGTGCTCTCAAAGCTTATGAGTCTTGCATGGGGGGGGTGTCTCAATATAAATACATCCTTCATGGTGGCCACTAGTAATGCAGGAATTGCCTCTCTAAGACTTAACCCAGGTCAGATATAAATAATAGATGTTAAGAGTTAGCTCTGGTATTGGGGCTGTGTTCCAGGCAGTGTATTTCGGTTGGGTCAAAAGAATTTTTTTCCCCTTCTTCTCTTGCATAGTTCCTCTGCTTGAAAAATGCCTTCAAAATTCCATCACACCTTTGCGGGGACCACTTTGGGTCTCTAAGGGAGAAGGTTTCAGCCCCTCAGGAGCTAAGATGTACATCCAAGGAGTTCTTTTGGCCTTGTACCAACGATTACAGTCTGCAAAAAAATATTATAAACAGGTGAGTCATCCCTCTTTAAAAACTACTTTATTATATGTTTTAAAAATGTACTCGGTTATATAGAGTAAATGATTGGCATCATGTCATAAAAGAACTGTGACATGTATTTTGTGAGCTCAGTGCCCATTAGGGAGCCAAAATGCTGCTTCTGTAATCTGAAAGCCAACAATAATGGGGCTAATTGTATCTGTCTTTTGGTATGGGATGTCATATGTCTCATCTTTTCTTGCTGAGTACCGTGCAAAGCAAAGGCACCTCCTTATGTGGAAATTCTATAGACAGTTGCTTTGAGAAAATGAACAGCTCCTAAGTCATTTGAAGGTTTAGCTTCCTATTTTCCTTTTCATTATAAAACCAGATTGCTTACAAGAGAAGTTGGACTAAAATAAAACAAATCATATTCTGTAAAAACGAAATTGTGGATTAACTTCATATGTCAAGAGTAACTTATTTCACTTATGCTTATTTAACCTGTATGTTTTAGGATCTAAAACATAGAGATAGAATTAGTGTATTTAAACCAGGTAAAACTAGATTTTGTCTTTTAATTTCTATATATCGGTTCCATAATTGTGGGGTGTGTGTGTGTGTGTGTGTGTGTGTGAAGACTTTGAAATTTTAATAGCTACTTATAGGGATTTTTGACTTACCTTAAAGTAGAATTCTCATTGTAAAGCAGAATAATTGACACCATTTATAAAATAAAAATGTAGTTGTCACATATTCAAAATTCTCTTTGCACTTGTTATTAAGAAACAAAGCATACATTTTTACCATGTTAAAAAGGACTACATTTTATATTTTGAACTAGGAGGTTATGGATTAGAACTGGGCTCATTATCTCAGGCCACAGTCTGTTGAAAAATGAATATTTTGAAATTATCATGCTATTCTCTGTGTGCAGAAAGGATGGGGAAGGAGGTGGGAATGATATGTCAGTCTTGATGTTCACACAGCACCTCCTGCTGTCTGGTTCAGAAAAGAACAATTTGTATTGACTGGGAGAGTGTGTTGAAGTAAGGTATTCAGAACTATCAAGAAACATCTTCCCGTGAGAAACTTTTATTTGCAAAATGTGTGTGGTTTGTCCTTCAGCAATTTCAGTGGATATAGAATCAAGATTAACAGTTACCATAGATAAGGCTATTCATAATAATAAATTCAGAAAAATAAAACCCCAAATTTATTTTATTGTTTCTTATTAAGCTATAACACAAACGTGGTATATATTATTGTATTTAAAATATTTTAGTTGAAACACTATTTTATTTTTGAGATGTAATGATATTATAAAATGGATCTTGACCAGTTGAATATATTGCAATCATTTATTTGATATTGTATGTTTTGATTCCACTTATTGGAAAGTTTTAAATTATTTAACATTGAGTAAAACATTTTCCAATGCAAGAAATGTGCTGTTTAAACATAATCTAAAGACAAATGATTTCTAAGTTTTATTAAAAACAAGGATGGTAGAGATAAGAAACATCTCAGAAAGTAATGATATGTTTTTGTTTAGCTATCTATCCTAACATAATTTAAACTTTAAATTAATATAAACAGCTAAACTAGTTCTGTGCTTTGTGAGAAAAAGAAATGACTTGAGAATTACTTATTGCTTTGATTTAAAGAATTTCTTTATGATTCAAAATTTATGAAAAATACATTTTATTAAATAGTAAATGTAAATGAACAAATTTAACATTTTCACTGTGTTCATATCATTATGCCAAATTTAAGAATACTTAAAAACCTAAGCTCTTTGCTATAGCTAACTGAACCTTTAAAATTTTCACCATGTTCTGATAATTTAAAGCTTTACAATATGACTGCTTAAGTTTTCTTTTAAAATAAAAGTGAGGAAAAAGAAATAGAAAATTTCCCATTATGCATTTGCTTGCAAATTTTTATTTCTTAAACATGTTCAATTATATGTATTGGTGAATCTCTTTTCAATGACTTATTGTACCAAGACTTAATTTAAAATTGTTTACAATGTTTAAAAAAGTCATTGTAGTAGTAACATTATCAGGCCATCAGTGGCTAAATGTTTAACCTGGCAATATCTTTGTTTATGAATAGAATTTTTTAACAAATATCTCTCAGCATTAATGAACTTTATTTGAACTGCATTTACTTCATTTGACCTTTGGGATAGGCTTTTCTATTTAGTTTTACATAAGATTATGTTAAGGAATCATTAGACAGGTAAAATGGAGATGGATGATAATTCCTCTTTCCCTATCCAATGTAAGTTTATAAATTATAGGATTATCTTGACTCTTGATGTCATTTATTCTACTTCTGACATCCCGAATAAAAATCATATTGTTTTGCTGTTTGTCAAAATATTATAAAAAAACTTTAAACTTTGAAATTCCCAAAGGAAATTTCTTTTAAATAAATTGCAATAATATAGCCTTTAAAAAGAAGTCAGGGATACTGGTTTTATGTTTACGAACTTATCATTTTTTAATTTTTAACTGTAGCTTGGCTGTTATAGCATGCAACTGAATTAAGCACACTACATTAGGGTAGTCTTAAATATATACTGATTTGTGTATATGAAAATGAGATATTATATTTAGGACAGCATAAAGTCACTTAGTCTTACATTTATCACATTTATTTCCTTAAAAGTGGAAACATCTTAGAAATTGCTCAGAGCTAAGCAGAATCTATTTAATTGGTAATCTTTGAAATAGCATAAACGCATTCCTATGAAATGTAGTTAACACTTTCAGCGACAAGGCCTGTTCCATCTCATTAGCATTCTTGTTATGTAGTGGTGCTGTTGGTGGGGGTGTTGAAGTAGGAATGCCATTGTGTCGAGTTCCAGTGTTTGGGGACAAACACTGCTGTGGAAGGAACGTGTGAAAAGGCCACAGTCCTGTCAGTGAATGAGGAAGGCTGTGCTTTCTGTGTGCTTCAAGCAGGGAAGCTGTCATTCATAGGCCTAACACAGCCAAACAGAGGCCAAAACACAAGGCTGCCCTACCTTTTAAAATGATATTAGTGATTTTTAAACATGATCTTCTTTATTTATAATCTTACATAGAGCTTTTAGTTGCTGTCAGTAAACAAAATATGTCTGTCTGTTCAGAAATACTGTAAAGATGAATAAAAGTCTATGGAATTGTGCCAGGCAGCTATATAAATAATGATTTGGAAGGACTGATGGGCAGTGTTTGGTACAAATGTGATTTGGGGAAACTTCCATTTCTGGAAATGTCTTTCCAGTTTAGATACTACTTTGAATATTTTTCCCCTAACCAACAAAATTGTTGGAGAGTTTCATGTAATGAATGCATAGAATTTTTTTTCCAATACAGTTTTTAAAAGAGCTTATAAACTTGCAGTCTTAATCACAAATCTATTCACAATATGGCTTAGTTGTTGTAGATTGCATAGTCATTTCTGAAGTTCAGAGGGAAACAAAGGAAATGACTATATCAAGATATTAATCTTGATAAACACCATTTTAATTATGAAGACAGTCATAGTCCCTGTGCTACTTAAGACATAAATACATTAACACATAGAATTAAGAAGTTTGAAGGACAAAATTTTAGCAGTTTGGAAAGGAATGACCAATTTTGAGATTAGACTATAACTTGTTTGATTATTTAAAGCAAAATAAAGAAAGAACAAAAAAAAACCTCAAGTATTTCTTAAGATTTTGAGGCATCTTTAAAACTTCAGCAGTATATTGGAAAATTGGCAATTTCTATTTATGTCTGAAGGTGTAGGGAAATGTTTTATTTCTGTAATTTTATTTGAAAATGTATACATGGGCTATTTGTGATAAATCATTACTTAATGAAGTTTGCCAAGAACCATATAATTTTCGGCCTGAGTGATTTAAAATTTTTTGTATGTATGTGATCCTTTGTTAACTAATTAAGCAAAGCAACTTTTTTGAGTGCTGTGGTATGTTATTTCTAAAAGTTTTGCATTTGATTCAAATCTAGATACTGAGTTTCTATTTCAAAAATTAAGTTTCACTATTTAAATTGGAACCATGTTGTAGATTTATTTTGTAGGTATATTAGTAGATAAGGAAATAACTATCTAACTTCAGTATATATTGGTTTTTCAGCTTAAAATGGAATGTATCTTGCTAATGTGTTAAACTAAGCTCTTCCAAAGCACTTAAGTTTTCTTTATGAGTTAATGTTGTCTTACATTACAACACCCTTTCACTGTTTGATAATTAGATATCAGTAATAATGATTTTTTCTATTCAGAATTGATTCAGCTAAAAATGTGCTTGAATTACATTTAGTGCTGACAGAATTTGTTGATTGCAAAAAATTATTTTTAAAGGAATCTTGGTGTTTTAATTTTTTATAAAATCATTAATAGTTTATCTTTCTACATCCTCTGTCTTAAGTCGATTAAAATAATTTATTGGTTCTAACTCTGCTGAAAGAATAACTATTTAAATCTGTGTATGGGGTGAAGGTGGGAGTTCATAACCCACTTGAATCAAAGTGTGGAATATGATATGTCAAGAAATTTGTAATGTTTTGAACAACCAACAATAAAAAATTAAAAAAAAAGAATAACTATTTATAGTTCATTTTCTATAGTATATACTTAAAAAATTGAGTAGTTTTCTTAAGATAGTCTTTCTGGGGCAATACTCAAATTATTGCAATTTTGAACAAACTTCCCAATGTCCTTGATACCTTGGGACAAATTTCTAATATAGGAACACAACTTACTAATGAGAATATAAAAATAATGTGGCAGTCATTTCAAAATGAAATCTACTTTTGAAGGTTTTGATAAGTAATTTTTTTTTAGAAAATTAGGTTGTTTGTAGATTTGAGTGATTGTTGTTTTTTTTTTCCTTCTCCTGAAACCAAGCTGCATTCTAGTTACTTGAAGTATTTTAAGAACCTTAAACTTGTGTCTTTTTCTAAGTGTCATGCTTTGAGCAGGCCTAACATCAGTTAAATGAAGTGAAAATTGCATTCTTGTCTTGATAGAGA